TCTTCTTCTTCTTCTTCTTCTTCTTCTTCTTCTTCTTCTTCTTCTTCTTCTTCTTCTTCTTCTTCTTCTTCTTCTTCTTCTTCTTCTTAATATTAGTATTATGAATTCATTCATTCTTTCTTTCTTTCTTTCTTTTTCCTTCCTTTTTTCTTTCTTTCTTTCTTTTTTTATTAAGTTATTTAATTAATTGAGGCGTTAAAAATATTTTATCTATTATTTTTGTTACTTTTCACTAATACTGCCCTTATATAATCGTGTTATCGAAAAAAAACAAAAACGGACGGTAACAGTAATGATGACACTATAGGGGGGATGAGGAGAATAATGGTAGTGCGGAAGGGGGGGGGGGCGGCAACTACACCAATTAATTATAGGCGAATTCCAGGTTGAAAACTATAGATACGGGGTGCATGGAAGCTAAACCAATAAATTGGAAAAAAGAGTAACATATTAATTCTCAGAGAGGAAATAGGGGTTAAAACAGAACCCGGGCATGGATTGCTGGTGCCTCTATAAATATATTATTGATGGTCAAGGTCAAGGACACGCACGTGCTAGAACGTCACGTTGTATTCTTATTTTTTGTCATCGTGTCATTCAAGTAGACATCTTTGTTTGTGCATGGCAAAGCGCCTTCTCATTGTACCAATGACTTGTAGACAATTCTTGGAAAAGCAAATCACTGGGATTTTTGGTCCTATTGCAGATGAACGACCCCGGCGCCCTGCCTCTAGATAACCTTTGTGATGAGAGAGAGAGAGAGAGAGAGAGAGAGAGAGAGAGAGAGAGAGAGAGAGAGAGAGATGTTAGCCAGTGAAATAACCAATTCTATTCCCGTTTCCGCCAGTGGTGCTCGTGCGTTGTACAGCTCATCTTAATGCCACTACATTGTTGTTGATATACAAGGGATATAATCCATTTGTTTAATCTACAACTACTTATATAAAAAGAATTGTACCAAGTGAAAGGTTCTTGTTTTCGTTTCTAGAGAGCTAATGGTATTTTGACGAAACTGGTTTTTTCAACAGACTGGGGCTAATTTTTTCGTGATCCCCGAAGTTAGTGAGTCTTTGCTACAGATTATTTGTATCTTTTACATGTGTGTATATATATATGTGTGTGTGTGTGTGTGTGTGTGTGTGTGTGTGTGTGTGTGTGTACATGTGTGAGAGAGATTGTGGGTGTGAGTGTGTGTGTGTGTGAATGTGTGTGTGT